TATGAGAGATCGAGAGTGATGCTCTCGACATGCGCCGGTGGTGGACTTGCACCTTGGCTTGCACTTAGTCAGCAAACCTTGACTTGAATATAGATGTAGTTGCACACAGAGTACCGACCTGGGCCGAATGAAGCGCAACCAATTGACACCACATCTGAGGAGTAATAGCCAGTGAGTTTTGCACTACTGACATGAGCTAGAAGATTTACCAAACATATTGCCGTTCCGATCATCAAGACACACACTCGCCCTTCCAGGTCCATTTGGCATCAGCGCAAGCAGGCCTTGAAGGGTGGCGTCCCATGTACGGTCGTCAAGACCCATGCGGCGAGCAGGTGCGACAATGTCAGCAGCAAGCACTACTTGAGTGGAAACTGCCATATCCTTACAATGCTGTATCTTACAGTCTAGGGAGTGGAGAGTCGGCAGAGCACGCCGCCGAGTTCTACGCGACTGGACGACCGGTGACGGGTCTAGGAAGGCAAGTCGCCAGCAATGACATTCGGAGAGGGTGGGGAAATTGTCGACAAGCCGTGCGAGCTCGGTCTTGCTCATGAATACAACATTGTCAAGAGTGAGAATGGAAAGTCGGACATAGGATGGAGTGACGATGGGTACCGACTCAAATGGGGCCCAACGGCCTGCCGTTGATACCGAATTGCCCAAACGGTTCATGACGCTACACTCGAATCTTGTCTCCCGGAGTCAGGTTGAAAGTCCATGGACATGGTGAAGCCAGGGCTTTCCCCCTGTAGCTTCTTGACGGATAAATATCTGTTTAAAGGACTCGGACAGACATGAAGCTGTAATTCTGAGACTGTTGGTGATGTTCTTGAGGAATCGTACGTCTTTGGCGTCGCGCAACTCGAGTGTATGGAAGAGAATAGGTCTGATCGCTTCAGACCAGTGCTTGCATACGAGACCAAGCATAGCGAGCCTGTGTTTCATCTTGCGACATACTATATCCATGTCATGCAGATGATAGAGATGAACTGGCGTGAAACATTTCAGGATGTGTGACAGTATTTCAGGTGGCAGATTGGCTCCTGTGGAGAGCGACATCTTCCAGGATGACTGGACAGATGTACAAGTATTTGTAGGGCATGAGGGCGCGAGAAAGAGTGTGGTGTACAAGGCTGAACAATGGACAACGCGCCTACAGCACTGTAGCACGGCAGTGCACGGCCATTTGCCTCGTGAATACAATGTTCACAAGGACATGATCTTGCGGCGCTTGCCCCTGAATTTCCGTCGCCTCAGGCATCACACTTCGATGTATTCGGCTTCAGGCTTCAGGCTTCAAACATTTACCGCAGCATGTTCCACAGAAACACTGTTCCACGTACAGCATTCGCTGAACTTGTCCATGCTCGGAGCCTCTGACTAGGTCGCGCCCGAGTTCAAAGACAAGCATAAAAGTAAAGCATTGAGATCATTGCGCTATTTATTTCAGAGAAAGCGTGACAAGTACAAGTTAAAAGACAGCGTCGCGTCCGCTTTTCTCAGGTTGTATTTTGAAACTTGAAACTTGAAAAACGGCGTCATGCACAGGAACATCATGTGTTTGAGTCATCAAAGCAGCTGATCTTATCTTATCTTTCCCCGCCGTTGCAAGAATTTCACGTTCACTCACTTTAGCTCGCTGTCTACATTACATCTTAGAGAACTTGCAACCACAGCTCGCAAATGTCCATTCAGATCTAGCAGTCATAATTTTTGAGCTCTGATGTGTGGCTATCACAGCCAGCTGAGCAGAAGGTGGGTGCAGAGATGACACTACTGTGGCGAAAGGTCACCTACTGAACAGCAGCCGCTACTGCTATCAATGCGTCCCCGGCATCTAATGATTGATTGCTTTAGGCACTATCTTGTCAACATCATTGGCACGTGGTCAAAAACAGAGCACCAAGCGTACTTGCTCCGAGAAGGAATGCTTGCAACTGCAGGCCCACAGTACCACCGACAAGTCCGTGCAGGCATCTACAACAGCTCCACCTTCGACAATGACGAACCTTCAAAGCTTCATACAGCATTGCCGGGAAGTACCGGCCGCTGTCGCGGAGTGCCGTGATGCATTGGTACGTCTGTGCCCAGACGTGGTCCCCGAACTCAAAGAAAGCAAACGACACATGAACCAGCGCGACACCCGCGAGTGCGTCGCCACAGAATTGAGATTGCTGACGGTCGCCTTGAAGCCTGCGCATCTAGTCAGCGCTTTTCTTGAAGACGCGTGGCAATGGGGAAGGCGATACCTTGACTGCTTGCATCCGCGGCAATTCACCACGCAAACACCTTGCATGTGCCCCCGTTTGATTCAACGAGCACGTACGTTGGATGCGTGTTCTTCGCAAAGAATTTGCAAGCGACACGGCGACCTACCAGGGAACCGAATTCGGTACGCCAGATTGTATTCTTTGGTAAGTGCCCCAAACGAGCTACCCAGGCCTCCCGGTCGATGGCAGTTGTATGATCCGGATACACCAAGTACTTGCGGAGGATTCGAGATCGGGTGGGTCACACTGGCTGCTTGAGAGAGCTGGTATCTAGACGAGCCATAATGAATATACATTGAGCGTGAGGACGTGGTATGTGTAATGTACCACACCATAAAGACACGTCGGACCTCATAGCATGTGAAACAGTAAGGATATAAGAGCTGGAGAAGCTATGTAGACATGACGGTGCCGCCTCTTCTGAAGTTTAAGAGGCCGGAAGCGAGCCCAACTTTCACGGGGCTAATTCTATACTATTTTGCGCGGATAGAGGTACAAAAACACATTCAGTTTATTTCGTAAATACACTTAAGCTATTTTCCTATGGGGATGTTATTGTTTTAGTGATATGAAAAGATACACTGCTTTTACACCTTTGAGGTATTAAGAGAGTCGAAATATCCTCAGGGCGAAATCATCATCATTTCTTTCTCCACATTTTCCCCAAAAAGGTTCCTTCCAGGTGAGACAAAAAGAGCAAACTTATTTTGTGGTTCCTGTCTCCACAAAATATGTGTTGAAGTGCCTAGTGGCTCTGGCTCGGCGTTCCGCCCAGCATGGACTTAAGGTGGACATCTTAGATTAGGCGCTGCTAATACGTAGATAGTGATTGGACAATCATATGTAGTGCTCCCACGCACGGACCTCTTTATGGCAGGCTTCCCCATTCTAGCAGACTTTCAATTTTGCTTCCTTTTAGTATATAAGGACTCCTCTTGCATCCCCACTCTGCGTGCTCTTTCCCTTCGCACCCAGAGTAAGTCCCTTTGTCGCCCTTGCACAGTATGCACTTATGCTTACGCCCTGTATAGCTAATCCCCCGTGTGTATTAGGTTAGATCTATACAGTGTGCTCTTTCCCTTCACACCCAGACTAATCCCCCGTGTGTATTAGGTTAGATCTATACAGTGTGCTCTTTCCCTTCGCACCCAGACAAATCCCCTGTGTGTATTAGATCGTGCCCACGTGCGACTCGCCAGTTCGCGCTTGCACAGCCCAGTTGTTGTACCACGACAATAGGTTATGAGCCCCGGCTTGTAACTGGCCCCCATCTACCCTCCATCCCTTACGAGTCTTCACTCGGAGAGATCCGGCACCAGCCGCACACTTGCTCCATAACACCTCAGGGTCTTTACCCCAAGTGTTACTCCACATCGCACACACGCACACTAGAGTTGTACTCCAGTGTATGTCTAGTCCATCTGCATCACGCCCACCTTCACCAACTGCACCGACACCTGCACCTGCACCCCGTCCTACACGTCGCACTCCCGCCGTTCCTGCTACACCCTCTCAATCCGCGTTCACTGCACCACGACGCACGACAACCATGTCCTCCGCCTCCGCATTCACATCAGCCACCGGTCCGCCGTCGATGAAGCTCGATGCGATCGGGAAGCTCAAAGGTTCCAGCAACTACCCATGCTGATCCCTGATGATGCAGCAATACTTCATTGCTGCACGCGCATGGAAGGTCGTCGACGGCACCGAGAGAGCCCCCGTCCAAAGCAGCACCGTCTCCGCTGCGGACGTCAAAGCATGGGAGACGACGAACGCATACGCGAGGTTCTACATCCTCAGCATGCTCAGTGACGAGCTCCTGCACCTCGCGAACCCAGTGGACATCACAGCCGCCGCGCTGTGGAAGAAGCTGAAGGACAACTACGCCGCCTCCACCACGATGTCAGCATTCGTCAAGTTCCGTGCATACTTCTTGCATGCAATCACGGATAGCGATGACCTTGCTGCCCAACTCGACAAATGCGCCCGACTCTGGCAAGAAGTCGGCGCCTCCGGGATTCTCCAAACCCCGGAGCTCCTGCAGATATTCGGCCTGCTCACGGCCCTCCCCAACTTGTTCAACAACGTCGTGGAGCCCATCCTCGCAGTCACCAAGCCCGCCGACTTGAAGCTCGACGATATCCGCAATCGTCTCCTCGACGAAGCGAAACGTTGCAGCACCTCCACCAACGTCGCCGCCTTCCACGCACCGAAGGTGTCTACCTCAGGCAAAGCCAAAGCTGGCAAACCTGATGGCAAAAAGGGCAAGTGCAACTTCTGCCACTACAAAGGCCACTACGAGCAGGACTGCAGAAAGAAAAAGGCCGCTGCCGATGAGGCGCGGAAGGGCAGCAATGGCAAAGCCCAGGACGGTAAAAGTAACCCGTCCGGTAGCAGTACTGGTCACGCATCTGTACATGTAGTCACCGCCAAAGGAGCAGCTGCTCCCGAGGCCAAAATTCACTCCGCTTCCTGGTATCTCCACGGTGTGAAATGCTGGATGTTAGACTCCGGCTGTACACGACACATTACGAACAACCTGAACAACTTCGCTGAGTACACCACCTTCGCGTCGCCTACATATGCAACCCTAGCAGATAAGGCAAAAACGCAAGTAAGCACGCTCAGTTCAGGTGTTGTCGAGGGCACTACGCTCGTCGATAACAAACCAGTAAACATCAGGCTAGAGAATGTCCTCTACAGCCCTGCAATGTCTGGACGACTAATTTCCGTCTCATGCATCAAAGACAAAGGCTTCGATCTCGTCTTTGGGAAAGGACGAGCCCAAATCAAGCGTGGTAACACCACGTTTGGCATAGGCACTAAGTCCCGCGGTCAGTATTGGTTGGACCTTACTCCACCTCCACCATCTGTCGCGGCATCCACACACAACGCCACTTCGCTCGACGTTATCCACCACCAGTTTGGTCACCTAAACTGGGAGGCAGTACACAAGCTCGCCGCTGCTGATTCCTCTCCAGTCAAAGGCCTCATCGCCGCCGATATGGATAAACCTTCGCATCCTTGCAGAGGCTGCGTCTTGGGCAAAGCACACAGGCGTACATTCCCCACATCGTCTACCTCACGCGCAAATAAACCCTTCGACCTCATTCACTCTGACCTCGACGGACCTATGTCGGTGGTGTCCCCCACAGGCCACCGATACTTCGCCACCTTCATCGACGATTGCTCCGACGTCACATGGGTCTACTATCTGCGAACAAAGGATGAGTTCCTCTCCGCATTCAAAGACTTCGTAGCCCTCATCACGCAACAGTTCGATATGGTCATCAAGGTCTTTCGGTCAGACCGAGGGGGTGAATACCAATCCAACGAGTTCATCAACTTGTTGAAGAAATCTGGGATCATCCACGAGCGCACAATACCCGGTACCCCACAGCAAAACGGCAAAGCTGAGTGCATGAACCACACGCTCGTAGAAGCCGCTAAGTCAATGCTACAAACCGCTGGGTTATCACACAGATTTTGGGAAGAAGCTGTTCGCACAGCTGTGCACGTACACAACAGAGGCCCTAAGAAAGCCATTGCATGGCGTACGCCCTTGGAGTGACTCACTGGCACCACACCGGACATGTCCCACTTCCGAGTCTTCGGTTGCTAGGCCTATTGCCACATACCCGGGGATAAACGCAAGAAACTCGATGCTAACGCTGAGAGCCTAGTGTTTATCGGCTACGAGACGAATTCTAAAGGTTATCGTCCATGGGATAAACGTAGCAGAAAGATCACCACGAGTACTGATGTGATATTTGACGAGTCGATCTTCCCCAACAAACTCCTACCCTCACCGTCCTCGACACAACTGACCGGATCTACATCCACGCTGCCGTCATCTGTCGAACTCAAACTACCACCCCTTAACACGCCACCGGCTCCTACGCAGCCGCCACAGCCTGTACCACCTCCTACTCAACCCAACACACCTAAATTGTCTACAGCATCCCAAATACCACGCTTTACACCTCGAACAGAGTTGTATCCAGCTTTGCCAATCCCACCAAGTGCACCGGTCAAGCCTGAAATCAAAGGCAAGGCCAAAGCCTCACCATCTCGCGTCGTCGCCCCTCCGCCACTCCAGCCAAATCCCAGCACCACCTCGTGGGACTACAACCCCTTCTCCAATCCTGAGCATGCCACAACGTCATCTGGCATTCGCCGCGGTATCCGCGAGCGCAAGGCAACTCAGAAATGGACAAGCATTTGGCCAGGAGCGACCGAAGCAGACATCGAGGAAGCACTGAACACAGGCAAGGAACCAGGTGACATTGCTGTGATCGTAGGCGACTCCTCCATCGCTGGAGAACCGCAAACCTACAAGCAAGCAGCCAATGCACCAGATTCAGCGGAGTGGATGACTGCCATGCAGGCTGAAGTCACTGGCCTTCTGGAACAAGGCACCTGGGAACTTGTCAACCTACCGAAGGGTCACAAGGCGATCAAGTGCAAATGGGTATACGTTGTCAAGCGCAACGAGAACGGAGAAGTGGATCACTACAAGGCAAGGCTCGTAGCCAAGGGGTTCACGCAAGTTCAAGGCATCGATTACAAAGATACCTTCGCTCCCGTCGCCCGTCTGGAGTCCCGGCGATACCTCATCGCCCTAGCAACCATCCAGGACTGGGAAATCCATCAGATCGACTTTGATAGAGCGTATCTGAACGGAGAACTCGACGAGGAGCTCTACATGGAGCAACCTGAAGGTTTCGTAACGGACGCAGGCAAAGTATGCCGTCTGCGGAAAGCAATATACGGGTTAAAGCAAGCAGGACGAACATGGTTCCTCACGCTCAAAGCCTGTCTCAAGGACATTGGATTCGCATGCCACGACGCCGGCGACGTATCCATCTTCATTTGCCGTCAACGAGGGGAATCCACTCAAATTTTAATGGTTTACGTTGACGACCAAACTATGATGGGAAACAGTCTCGATCTCATCCAACAAACGAAAGAGGCACTGAAGGAAAGGTTCCAACTCAAGGACCTTGGCGAACTCAAGTACTACCTCGGCATTCGTGTCACGAGGGATAGGGGGAGTCGAGCCACATACCTCGACCAGGAAACGTACATCGAGTCCGTTCTCAAATGATTCGGATACGAAGACTGCAACTCCGCATTCACACCACTCGGCACTGACATTGTACTCGAGAAGAACGAGGAAGACCCCGCGGACTGTCCACAAGACCACATCAAGCTCTACAGTTCACTCCTCGGCTCACTCATGTACGCCATGCTCGGGACTCGCCCCGACATCGGCTTCGCCGTCGCCCGACTTTGCCAATACCAGGCAAACCCTTCACCGAAGCACGTAGCTGCCGCCTATTGTGTTCTCAAGTACCTCCGCGGCACCTCCGACTATCGACTCTGTCTAGGTCAGAACAACGAGACCGATAGCCGTTTGCTCGGTTACACCGATGCAGACTTCGCGAACGACAAGGACAACTCCGTCTCAACATCCGGCTGGGTTTACAAACTCGGTAGAGGCGCAACCAGTTGGTCTTCTTGCAAGCAACGCTGTGTGGCTCGAGACACCTTCGACGCAGAGTACTTCGCAGCCGACGAAGCAGTCTGACATTTACAGTGGCTCGAAATCTTCGCTGAGTACATCGAACACCCACTCGCGAAGCCTGTCCCTCTCCACTGCGACAATAAATCTGTCGTTGACGCTGCCCAGTCACCCAACGTCAAGCATCGCACGAAACATACCCGCGTCAAAGCTCATGCTGTTCACGAGCAATTCGAAGCAGGTCTGATCGAACTTGTTAGGATTCCCGGTGTCGACAATTCAGCTGATATTCTCACAAAGCCTTTACCGGCTGAGGTACACAACCGTCACACCCAGTCTCTTGGCCTCGTTCCTTATTGCCTTGCCAAGGGGGAGTGTTGAAGCGCCTAGTGGCTCTGGCTCGGCGTTCCGCCCGGCATGGACTTAAGGTGGACATCTTAGATTAGGCGCTGCTAATACGTAGATAGTGATTGGACAATCATATGTGGTGTTCCCACGCACGGACCTCTTTATGGCAGGCTTCCCCATTCTAGCAGACTTTCAATTTTGCTTCCTTTTAGTATATCAGGACTCCTCTCGCATCCCCACTCTGCGTGCTCTTTCCCTTCGCACCCAGAGTAAGTCCCTTTGTCGCCCTTGCACAGTATGCACTTATGCTTACGCCCTGTATAGCTAATCCCCCCGTGTGTATTAGGTTAGATCTATACAGTGTGCTCTTTCTCTTCGCACTCAGACTAATCCCCCGTGTGTGTTAGATCGTGCCCGCATGCCACTCGCCAGTTCGCACTCGCGCAGCCCAGTCGTCGTACCACGACAATAATATGAAGTAGAAAAGCTGGACTTTTATCAGGGAAACTTGTATGGAAAAAACTGGTATTGTTTTCAGACATAAGATTGGTCACCCACTCATGGCCTATTGCCCCCTTCTCATTGTCTGCTGTGCGCCCACTCATCGCCCCGCGCATTGATGGCCACTTGCTAGGAGATCGCCTGCACATCACCCACACATCACCCACTCATTGCCCACTCATTGCTTGTTGAAGCGCCTAGTGGCTCTGGCTCGGCGTTCCGCCCAGCATGGACTTAAGGTGGACATCTTAGATTAGGCGCTGCTAATACGTAGATAGTGATTGGACAATCATATGTAGTGCTCCCACGCACGGACCTCTTTATGGCAGGCTTCCCCATTCTAGCAGACTTTCAATTTTGCTTCCTTTTAGTATATAAGGACTCCTCTTGCATCCCCACTCTGCGTGCTCTTTCCCTTCGCACCCAGAGTAAGTCCCTTTGTCGCCCTTGCACAGTATGCACTTATGCTTACGCCCTGTATAGCTAATCCCCCGTGTGTATTAGGTTAGATCTATACAGTGTGCTCTTTCCCTTCGCACCCAGACTAATTCCCCGTGTGTATCAGATCGTGCCCGCGTGCCACTCGCCAGTTCGCGCTTGCGCAGCCCAGCCGTCGTATCACGACAATATTGCTCACTCATTGCCAAAACAATGGTGGTCACTTATCAGTAAATTGCCACTTACAATGCATGACCACTTAAACAAGCAACTAATCACCTCACAAACAATTAATCATGTCGTCTCCACTCCCGACGCCGGTGCACTCGTGCGAGAGCACCACAGACTTGCAGACGGACATGACAAGCGTCGCGTCGTTGCGGCGCGTGCCCGCCAGCGCGGCGTCGATGCTCCGGATGCGGCCGCACGCGCCATCATTGTCTCACCTGCTGTTCACCAGGCCTACACGACTTGCCGTCCCTCTACCAACATGCCGCTCTCGGTCTCGTTCAACTCAATATCTCCCCGCATGCAGATATCTTCCTTATTCCCGCACGATGCGTCTCCGTTGTCTCCATCCCCCTGCTTGCGGTCTCTGCCTCTCGTCTCCAACTAACACCCTCCGTAAACCACATCATCACCTCCGAAGACCTGCAACGGCTCCGCGCGCTCACGAAGCCTCTCCCACCTGTGCTCCCCAGTCCGTCCTTCTCCTCGCCCGACCGCGCCGAGGCGTACGCCTTCATCCACCCCTCCCTCAACATCTACTTCGCCGACCTTTTATCTGCCGCGCAGCACCATCCGCTGCTCGACGGCAGGCTGCTCACGCTGCGCGCGCACTGTGACGCCACGGCGCTCGTGCGCACGTACCGCGTGCTCTGTGGGTGCAGCCTCGGTGCGGAGCTCATCGCGAGCGTCACCGCCACGCCCAGCGAGGACACGAGCGAGGACGACGACGAGCTCCGCACCGCTCACGCAAACGTGCACTTGTGGAACGACGACGGCGGCGACGGCGAGGACGCATGGCGCGGCGCCGAGATCCACACGGGCCGCCGCAAGATGGGGAGTGTGCGCAGCGTCGAGGTACACGTCAAGGGGCCTGACGTCGACGCCGGGGCCGATCATGCCTCCCCTGGTCGCGCACACGACGGGCCGCCACGCGCCGCACACGGCGGCGTTTGCGAGCCATGACAGCTTCGCGCCGAGCAGCCTCATGGCACTGCTGCCATCGGCGCCCGAGGTGTGGGACGTGAGCGAGATTGACGCCGAGCGGGTCTTCCCCCGCGCGGGTTGTCTGCTTGCATTGCCCGACCCGCTCGCGTTCGCGGGCGCTGTTCAGGCGACCGGCAGGTAGATCAGTGGGCGACCAGTGGACGACCAGTGGACGTGTCAGCGGGCACACACAGCGACGCCAAAAAATAGTCAATGTATTTGTATTAGTTCTTTTGCGACAAAAGTCAGCTCTCCTATTTGAGCAAATAGATAGTAGATGCATATTTTTTTTGCACCTATCCCAATAGAAAATATATCTATCATTCTATATATGGATAGCCCAGCAGTATTTGTACCTCTTTTTGCTGCAAGCAGAACAGCTTTTTGCAACAGGATTCACCAAAAAAAGGTGTCTTTGTTTGGCTCCTATTTCCAGGTTTTACCTATCGTATGTTTTTACCAGAAAGTGTTCAGTCTTTTTGGCTTCTATTCTCATAACGATTTTCGTGCCCCTTTCAGCTGAAAATATTAACTAATTAGCCCCGTGTTTGGACAAAATGTTGGGGCCTTGTGGCGTCCGGGGGTTGCTCCTCGACGCCCACCATCAGTTGGTATCCGCCTCGCAGCACACATCCTTATGCAGCTTTATTCTTGAGAATTGCTGTAGAATACATCCCCAGATATGTCTCGCCCTTTGCGTAGTACCACTCCAGCAGCTCTCCGAACAACGCTGCCCGAGCTGCAGTATGCAAATTACCACATCCCGCTTTGAAGCATCTCGCAGAGTTCGCCAGGCAACCGGGCTCCGGTCTGGGAACACCAATTGGGTGGGAAAGGTTGTTGGTTGGAAATGTATTGTGGGGCTGGGACTCGGGTGCACACATATACTCACTCTCAGTCGACTGCTGGCTGAGAATTCACAGAATGACTTCAGGATACCGCGCCAAACCTCACAACGTCCGCTCGTATAAATCCTGCTGTGTGCCGCTACCAGGATCGAACTCTTCGAGTCGATGATGAAGGAACCAAAGACTTGCAGTTCAGACGTAACAAGAAGGGCACTGTTGCTACGATCTACGTGAACACATATTAGAAATACTGGTCGCGCCATGTTTCAAGATCCAATCCGTTCCGAAAAGCCTAGGATCGGTGTCAGGCAGCGCATGAGAGGGAAGAGGGCGGGGGGGCGGCCTGAAGCTCGGGGACGCCAAGTCATGTGCAATGTTGAGTGAGGCATCATCGGGTTGAAGAGTAAAGTCACGAAAAAGTGCACGGGTGCCTGAGCTACTGCGCACTTTTGCGAAGCGACCCGAATCCTTGTACGTCTCTCTGATTCTCGAGTCATCTTTCACTTCTGATTGAGATCATTTGACGTAGACAATATTCTGCGTGAAGACGCATATCGAGAAGAGCTCATTGCCGTCCCTCACATTATCGCGCTCAAGAGCACTCGCTGGCTCTATTCCTTTACCAGCTATGAGGAGATGCCAGCTGAGACTTGGCAATATATGCTCGAGATGCGTGTTTTCTCTGCCGTTGCGGAGCGTCCCACACGTCTATCTCGTCAATGTTTGCATCCACATCGGCAACGCAGTACGAATGTACTCAGCGGCTCAACGCGCGGATGACGCCAGGCGCACGAAAATCTTTGCACAGTGGTCGTCTGAGAGCGACACCC